GCCCGGCGCCCTCTTTTCCTCTGCGCCCTCCGGACGAACGGGGCGGGGCAGCACCGGGCCCTTAGGGGCCCTGGGGTGGTCGCGGGGCGGGGCAGGAAGCGCGGAGGTCACGCCCAGCGGTGGTTTAATGTGCGTGCGGGGAAGTGTCCAAGCCCCCGGGCCCTGCGCTCCGCGGGCCGCCTTCCTGCTCCGGTTTCTCGTCGCACAGCTGTGGCTGTCCCCCTGCAAGTCACGCTGGGCCAGGAGGTGGCTCGGCCTCCACGCTCCCGTGTCACCAGCCCTGCACTGATCTCCATCCCACTGGGACTGCGGGGAGACCCTGGCGAACCCCTAAACCCCAGGATTCCCCCCGTTCCCTTATCTGCGAATTGGGGGTGCGGAAACGCACGAGGAAATGCGTGTAAGGAATTCCGTCGGTCCCGGGACCGAAGGCGCTTTACAGTGTTTATGCTGCGTCGGGACTGCGGGCGGCAGCAGTGCCCCCTGAGAACCTCCGTGGGAGGGGCGGCCCAGCCACCTTGCCCCCCGCACTGCGCAGCCTGCTGGTCCCACCCTCGGGAGCTCCCAGCCCGCCGGGGAGGCGGAAGGTGAGGGGACCCCGCCGGCCGGGGCTGCCAGTCCCTGCCCCCACCCGGCCAGCTTGGGGCGAGGGGTCGCCCCGGCTCATCGCCAGCTGGGCGCGCTCCCCTCCCCAGAAGCGCCTTCTTGCCCAGGGGGACCTGCCCCTGCCCCTCGGGATGTCCCCACCCTTCGGATCACGCAGGAGCGCGCAGTCCTCCACTCGTGGGAGCCCCTCCCAGCCGTGGCGGTGGGTCCTTGCCCCCCTCCCCTAGGCCTAGGGCCCCTCCCTCTGCTCTGAGGTCCACTGGGCAGCTCGGGTGCCCAGCTGATATCCTCAAGGAGACCTGGCTCAGGCTGTCTACGCCCCTCCTCCAAGCCCCGGGCTCTCCTGGGGTCACTCCGTCCGGCAGGGAGGGGTGTCGTTTGCAGCCCCACGGGATAAGCCCCGAGGACGCCACGAGGTCCCAGGCTCCCGCGGAGCCAGTGTTGCAGATGGCTCGGGGGCTACAGGCTCCTCCTGCGCACGGGGTGCAAGCCCGGGACTGGCGGGGCCCTCCCCACGCGCCCCGCACCCTAACGGGCTCTCGCGCTGGGACAGGCAGCCCGAGGTCCCAACTCGCTCCCCTTCCTCTCGGCAACGCGTCCAGCCGCAGCGCCCTCATTGGCTGCGCGCCCCGCAGCCGGCCATTGGTCCGCGGTCCCTATTTTACATAGACCGCTCTGGGCCAATCGTCTTGCGGCGCCTACTTAACATGCAAGCCGACCACCAATCAGCGAGCGCGGGGCAGGGCCACCACGTGCTGTTGCTAAGCTTGGGCTTCTAAATCGTTACTAGCGCGGCAGGCCTATCCGAACCCAGCTCCGCATCTGTCAACATTCTCGGCCCGGCCCAAGGCGTTCGGCCGCCTCCTATTGGCCACGGCGCGGGGACGCACCCGCCC